CGTAAGGGAGTGGGGTCAGGAAGGAGTGGGCTGGGTACACGCTCACTTCTGTTAATGAGACATGTTTCTTATTTCCTGACTTCAAGAGTCTGCTGAGAGAGGCTCACCTCCCACTGACTGAGCTGAGCACTCCGTGGTGGCCTTGGGTCTGAAAAGACCTTTCTATCTAGAAGCCCCAGGCGTTGCTATAAGACCCAGCACACCACACCTAGAAGCTCCGGCCACCAGGCACAGAAAGTCTTCCCTCCTCTCATATCCTGTTCTCCTTCCCCCATGCCATCCTGATTCTGAGTCCTTCCTGTCCCCCTGCCCATCATGGCAAGACCCCTGTCTACACTCCCCTAAAGGGCTGGCTGGAGAGAGGCTGCATGGGGAGGATGCTATCCACAGGAAGCTGTTACAGCCTGCTATGTCCTGGTGTCCTTCAAGCCTGAGAAGAAACCCCTCATCTTGGGGCAAGGTTCACACTCTGCGTGGATGTGGCCTGGCCTGGCCCCTGCCTAGCTCCCTCCCCAGCTTCTCCTGGCATTGGCCGTGACCTGTCACTATGAACTTCCTCTTCTTTTTCATTTGCAATGGGCATGCGCAGATAGAGAGGAAGAGAGAGAGAGAAAGCACCCCCCATGGGCAGTCACACCACAATCCCTTCTCTGTTTCTCCTTCCTTTCAGGATTTTGGGCACACATACCTACACACCCAGTGTGTTTTTCAAGCTGCTGGGTCTTGCACTTGAACTGCGTAATCAGCCATGCGGAATCCAGCTCATGTAACCACCAGGCCATGGGCTGTGTGCTGTGAAGTCCCTGAAGTTCCCTGAGGGCACCTGCCCTTCTCCACCTCGGTGTCCCTGACCTGGCTTCTCCACCACCCACAGCACCTGCTCCCTCTCTGGCTCCCACCAGCACCTTGCCTTGTCGCTTGTTCTTTGAGATCCAGTTGAGTCCTTCTTCAGTGGGGGAGGAAGGGTTCCTTGGACCCCTTACCCCACACCTGCACTCCCCGGCTGGGTCACTGGCATTGTCAAAGGGTGACTGCAGGCCCATCTTACCCACAGGCTGTGAGCTCCAAAGGAGGCCTGGACCCACTGGTCTGCTTTCTTCCAGCTCCTCAGGGCCCCTGGCCAAGGCTTGGTCTGTAGTTCATTCCTGCAGATATCCTGTGATGACTGGCAGAATCTCCACAGTAGCCTTTGCCCTAGCAATGCTAGCCATTTGAGTGGAAAAAAAAAAAAAAAAAAAAAGGAGTAAAAGGGACCCTTATATGGGTCCTAACGAGGCTGGCTTATAGGAGGCTGGTGACAAGGCAGTGGCATGCAGTGGCATCCTTTGACATACCCTGGCAGGGTGGGCTGCCCACCTGGAGCCCTTCTAACAGGGATGGTGGGGCTTTTCTGGGACATTTGATTTGACAATACTCAAGAAACTCACTCACTCAAGAACCGCCCATCGGAACCAAGAGGTAAGGCACTTTTCCGACTTGAATGAGTCCACCCCACAGACACCACCATCAGGACAACTAAAAAGATCGGGCATGTCACTGCAGGGTGGGAGGGTGTGGAAACCGGGGCCACCATCATGGGGAACATTGGGCAACGTCTGTAACAATGTCCACTATAATCCTCCCCCCTTTATTAATGAGAGAGGAAGAGAGAGGAAATAGGGATTTTTGCCAGTGTCTCCATGTCACGACCCTCCAGCTACAGCCTCCCGTTAGCTAGCACCACAGACACATGCCACGGTACCTGGACTGCTTTAGGCTGGCCTGGGACTTGAACCCAGGCCTTCCCCAGCCCCAACCACTGTGTGGCAATGCCCATTACAAGGCCTTTTGCTCTAGGAACGCCACAACTGGCATTTTTATCTCACAAAGTCCATAAGAAAATATGCCCAAGCAGGATACCAAGCCAGAAATCACCCCCACATTAAAGTCAGGGTCACAGGACAGCCTGCCATGCAGCCCTCTCTACTTCCGGCAGCTCAGGGTGGCCAGAGGGAAATGGCGCAGTATGCAGAATGTGGTCCCATTTGTGACTTGCTGGGTTCAAAGCCAGATTCTCCCACCTCTGACCTGTGAGGACTCTGGGGCTCCGTTTCCTCCTCTGTAAAATAGGGACATGGCACGATGTTGCAAAGAAATTGGAATGAGTTAGTACTGGAGAAGCACTTAGAACCATGTCTGCAGAGTGGCGTGCACTGGATCTATGCTTGCTGCTGTTTGGGACATTCATATAATATACATGGCTTAGACACAGAACATTCTGAGGGGGATGTAAGAAACCATCAGAGTACTTACCTCTGGAGAACGAGGATGCAAGTAGGGATGAGGAGAAACTTTCTCTTTATCCTTTGTTACTGATTTCACTTATACTTTGATTTTTATTGCTAGTGAGTATTGCTCTGGTGATTAATAAGGTATTCATAGGGTGGCCCTTTAGCTGGGGCACAGAGATGACAAGGGACCAGGTCCAGCATATGCAGAGACATCAGGAGAGGCGGTGATTCTGCACTGCACTCTGTCCATGCTCTCTCACTCCTCTGATGTCAGCTCTGCCCAGGATGGGCAGGATGATAAGGCTGGTGGAAGCTCAGGGAGGGGCACAGCATGCATGGGCTGTAGGGCTGCACCGAGTTCTGTGGGAGTCTCACTGCACAGCTCATGCTGTTTTTCACTCAACAACATGGACCCATGAGCAGAAAATCCAGAACAGACAAGTGCCACCACCTCGGAGATGATTTTAGGACCAAGAGACTTCTCTTCCCCACCTCAGCTTTCTAAGTGGTGAACAGGTGCATAGATCTGGGGTGGGCTCCTCCCAGATCCTAGCTCCTGAACCCACTGCCCCATTGTAAACAAAACAGACCCTGAAAGATCAATTTGCATCGGAGCAGGGCAGAATGGACAGACAGGCTTAAGCAAAGCCTCCACTTAACTTAAAGAGGGGAACTTGGAGCCCACGTAGATATGGCCACTGCTAGTTGTTTGAGGCCGCCGGCATAACATAGCTAATTGGCCCCAACATTTTTCTCTCTTGAATTTTAAATCCTTTTAGTGACAGATTATGCGACAATGGGCTGAATTCACTGGAGCAGTCATTAGGCTGGTGGAAAATGCTGGCTTGGCCATTCCTGGGTGAGTCTCGTTATTGGGTTATTTAGAGGTGCCGTGTGTCTCTCCCAGGGACACACACACAAATGTGAAGAATGTCTCCAAGCCACAATGACATTTTCATTACGGACTGCGGCTGGCCGGCTCACAAAGGAGCCTTTCCCCATGGCTCAGGCCCACACAGTCCGGAAGGTTCTTATCCTCCTCTTCGCCTCTCTTGGTCTGGGTGAAAAGCAGTCACTATAATCCAAGTCAAACACCCCCGACCTTTGACCCCTACATGGAACTTGCTCTGGGGCAGGGGTTCCTTTGGGGTGCAGGTCTGAGGCTCAGCTGGCTGCAAGGCTATCCCAGAGCTCCCTGCCTTTGGCCAGGACAATCCACCTCAGCCCCTTTTGTCTCCACAGCTTTTGATCTCACCTGCCTGTCACTGGGAGAAAAGAAGCTGCCCTGTCCCCCACCTGCCTGCAAATTGGCAGCCATTGCTCCTCTAGGTCCTTGCAGCCACATTTAACCATTTCCTTGCCTGACCCTCAGGGCCTTCACCAAAGCTGCTCCAGGGGCCCAACAAACCCATACGTGAATGAAATTCTGCTAAGAACCCCAGCACTCTCCCCATCGCCTCACTATGAATATGGGGCTCACAGGAGCATTTGGGGAGCAGGGGTCCTCTGAAATGGGACAGAAGAGAAGGCAGCAGGCCGAGCCCACTGCTAGACTTGTCCTCTGCCTACCACTGTGGCAGCCTCAATTGTAAAAAAAAAAAGGGCAGTCTCATTTGCAAAACTGCCATTTTCTCCCTTCATTTTGATCACTGCTGATGGGCTTTTAAATGGAGTCTTTCTTGCACCTAGACAAAGCCAAATTCTAACATCTTGACTGCACATGGAGTCCCCGCCACTCGATCCAGATGCCGGGATGAGCGGTCTGGTCCAGGTGCCTACCTTGCTGGGCAGGCGTGGGCATTTCCCTCAAGCTGATACCTGAGCTTTTTCCTCTCTGTTAAGATATAGTCCGTGCACTTTACACCCCGCCCTCTCAGGTGTGCAACTCAGTGTGTCCAAGCATATTTACGGAGTTATGCAACCATCGCCCCTAGTTTATTTGTTTTGTTTCTTTCATGACAGAGAGAGAGAAAGAGGGAGAGAGAGATGGGCACCTTGACAGGGTCCCATCATCCCGTGATCCTCTGCCTCCAGCCCTCCAGCTAGTCAGGATCTGGATGTACACCTGGGACGTTTCAGGTCTAGCTGGGATCTGAACCCGCAGGGGGTCACGTGGCTTCCAGCACCACAGATCTGTAGGCAACTGCTGTGCCACCACAGCGGAACCTCAGCTTTAGAACATTTTAGTCAATCCCTCCCTCCAAAACCTCCTGCACCCTTTAGCAGTCCCTCCCCTAGTCTCCCCAATCTCTTCAACCGGGAACAAGCACTGATCTACTGCCTGCAGCGCGGACGTGCCCACTGTAGCCGTTTCATGGAAACAAAAGCAGGTCATAGGATGGTCTTTGTGACTGGCCAGGCTATTTCTGAACCAAGGAAGAGCACCCTCCTCTCCCTAGCATCCCCGTTTTGGTACCTGAAGCCACCCACACACTGTGGGTGAGAATGACCCGGTGTGGAAATGGCAGGTGTTTTGGCCACTTCTTTGAACCAACTCGGAAAACCAGTGACCAGGGACTCCCAGAGAGACCCTCAAGAGGGCGGTCACTTTCCTAAGGAAACAACACCGGTGATGGTGACGATGACGAGTGCGGTAAGGGGCCTCTGCGTGCCACGCCAGGGTCGGGGCTGGGTGTACGTGAGCTCTGGAGCCCTCACCAGCTCTCACTCCAAGGTCCCTCCTCTGAGACCCTGCTGGGCCAGCGTCGTCCGCTGTGAGCTGGAGTCCACCTCTGCTTGGGAGGGGCCTGGAGCCGAGGTTCTTCTCCCAGGCGCCGGGCAGGCCCTTCCTCTTGCCTCCCATCCACATCCCCCAATGCCTCCATCACCCAGATGTGGGAGGCCAGCAGTGATGTGATCTTCCCCCGGTTTCTGCGAAATAGGCACAATGACGGCAGCGCGAGGCCAGCACGCAATGCCAGGCACACATCGACGAGGCATCGTGACAAGCGCTGGCTTCTCTGTCCCCTCTTGTCCTTTTAATTTTTTTATTATGTACTTAATTTTATTCATTATTATTATTTGTTTAGTTTATTCATCATCATCATTATTATTTTTAATTTGACCAGAGAGAGAGAGAGAGAGAGAAATAGAGAAAGCAAGCCACAGGTCTGGGACTTGAACCATGGATAGCCATGCAGGAGTCCAGCACCTTAACCACCATGCCACCTGCTGGTCCGTTTAAATTTTTAAGAGACTTAATTAATTAATTATTTTAATTTGCCATAGGGCATGTGAGCTCACCAGAAAGTGACACAGAGAGAGGGAAAGTGAGAAAGCAAGCCACCCTATCTGGGATTCAAACTGTGGTCAGCCGTGAGGGAGTCCAGCATCTTACCACAATGCCACCTGCCAGCTCCCTTTGTCATCCTTTGTCCTTCCTCCCTGCAGCTGCCTTGCCTCTGAGGTTCACAGCGGACCCCTCACTCCCCACCGTGGGACGCTCTCGCCTCATCTCTCTGACTCCCCCACCTCAGCCTGCCCTGACACTTGCTTTGCCATTCACAGCTCACAGTGGTGCACGCCTGTTCATGCCAGCTCCCTTCTATGGCAGAGCTTGGAGCTCTATAAGGACCACCAATGACTTCAAACAGCAGAATTGTGGACTCACGATATCTGACACTGTCCCGCCCCCCCCCGCCCCTCCCCCAAGTCAGGCTCTATGGACTGTGAGCCCTGGGGCGAGGCACGGTCTGTCTGTCTCCAAGACTTCCCCAGGGCCCTGTGTGGGTTTAGGGAGAGAAGGCACCAGGGTGTGCAACCCACTCTGTGCTGGACAGAGAGAACCCCATGGACGTAAGCCTTAGGGTCAGCCCCATCAGGTATGGCAGACCCAAGGGACATTCTCACAAGTCTAGGACACAGATCTCAGAGCAGGAACCCATGACCCAAAACCAGCAGAGTGCGGCACCCCTGTGAGTTCAGCTGAGGCGAGTTTTGAGTCCAGAAAGGGAGAAGGAAAACCAGCCCCCAAAGTACCCCCAGCTCTCCAGAGACTCTGCCTCCTCCCAGAGCTTTCTCAGAGAGGCCTTTCTCAGCTGCAAATCAAAGATGGAGATTCTGCATTTCCTAAGGCACAGTTCTTTTTACTTTTTAATAAAAAGACAACCCAGGTTTATTGTGGGAAATTCAAACAACTTAGAAAATACACCATGACGCACACACACATATCCTCTGCTCGCTCACTTATCCGATAGCAATTTATTAAGCACCTACTCTGTACAGGGTCTGTGGCAGGTGTTTCGGACACATCAACAACAACAAAAAGAGACGAAATCCCTCACCTGGTGAAGCTTAAATTCCAGCATGGGGAGGTGAGCACCAACCGTAGCAATAAGCGCATTATCCCGTGAGCTCACAGGGGCTGACTGTTTGGAGTATGGATCCCTCCAGACTTTTTCCCATACCTGCATACGCAGGCTGGTTTCCAACACATGGCCTGCTCTGGCGCTTGCTCGGTCATCCACAATCCACCATGGTGTACATCTGCCGGCGGCTCCTTCTCTTTAAGAGCTAGATGGGATCCCGCTGTCCTCTGGTTAATTCGGCGACTCCGTTGGGGGCTGGCACGTAGGCTGTGACCATTACTAGGGCTGCACTGAATATGCTTGTGTCTCGAGGTCTGTGCACATGGGAGCGTTTTGGTGGCCTGGATTCCTAGAGCCAGAATGGCCCCGTTGAAGCATATGTGTCTTTCCCTTTGGCCAGGTGCTGCCCGCTTGCCCTCCAGGAAGGCAGGGCTGATTCTCACCAGGGCTGATCACGTTTTGCATTCTCACCCACAGTGTGTGAAGGGATCCTGTCTCCCATGTCCTTCCCCGCTCTGGGTATTATCATTCCCTAGCTCCCTTTTTGGTATTCCAGAAATTGTCAGATCCGATATGCATTCCAATCTCTCTCTCTCTCTCTCCCTCTTTCTCTTGCCCTCCCATTTCCCTACCCTGTCTCCGTCCTTCCCCTCTCTCCCACTTCCCAGCAACATGGTCCCTAGTGTCCTGGTTCCTTCGGAGCCTGAGAGCCCGAGCTGGGGCTCTGCAAGCCTTGCATCACGTCCCAGCCTTTCGGACAGGCAGTGGCACTGGAGTAGCTCCGCAGCCTTTGGAGACAGAAGTCCCACAGACCAGGAAGAGGAGGGGGGCAATCCAGAACGCCCCACCGGAAGCCCAGTCTCTCTGATCTGAAACTAGATCAGCTTTCTCACACTTTTCTGTCTCTTTAATTTTTGCTTTTGAACTTCAGACCTCGGCTAGGCGCGAGACCTAGTCTTTGCCTCCAACGGCCATCTTTGTCCTGGGATGCACAGAATCCCATCTCTGGCTCCCGGGATGAGGAAAGGACAGGAAAGCCAAAAAAATCAGAGGTTGTACTGATATGTGAGGGTTTAGCTTTCCTGGGGCCCTGCCCTCAAACCGACATATTCCCAGAAGGTGCAAGTCCACCTGCGAAGGTTCCCCAGGAGGGGACTTGCTTTCTCATCACAAACCCCTTGCAAAAGTGTCCTCAGCATACTGGGACCTTCCTTCCTTCCCAAAAGACAGTTCACTGAGGACCATTTAGCACCTGAGTCTATAAGCTCTCCCTAGGGTTGACTTTTCAGGGTGCCACTCTCTCAAGGTGGCCTCAAGAACGTGTGTTCAAATCACTCATTCCATGATCAGAGGCTGACAGAACAGACCTTACCTCCACCTGGAAGACACCAGCACTCACCTGGAAGATACTGGCACCTGCCTGGAGGATGCCCACACCCACCCGGAGGACACCAACACTCACCTGGAGACCTCACTTGCAGTGGGGAGCGGCAGCTGCTGCCCAGAAGCCTTGTCTGAAGGCACTTGGCATGAGCACCAAGGAGGCCTTCCCTTCCTTGCAGTTACTTCCCTGGCTCCAGTGGCTTCCAGATGTCTAAAGAGATTCCCCAGATAGCTAGAGGCCCACCTGCCCAAGGAAACGGCCATCTTGGACCATCTGTGAGACCGAAGTACAGTCTGATGACACCTCATTCATCCATTCTCTCATTCATTCTGCAGTATTTTGAGTTTCTGTCCCATGCCCAGGCTTATATAAGCTGAGGACGCAGTGACGAACAGGGTGCATTCCTTCTTAAATCCTCCGGCAGGTGGGTGACCTGGCGCGGTGCAGAGACAGCAAACACCTACGGTCCATGAGAAGTTCGGTGACAAAGGTGAGTGACAGCAGCACTTTGGGAATGGGACAGGTGGGCACCTGCCGTACACGGGCAGGGCCAGGAGTAGAGCTCCTCCTGCCCTCATGCTGGCCAGCATGGCCCTCATTTAGCTACTCGATGGCATCGCAGAGCCCGCCTGCACTCTGTGTCTCCTGAGTATCATCACCCCCAACTCCTTCACGGCGGGGGGTGACTGCGTTTCCATACGCCTACTCTTTCTTTTTGCATCGTATCTGAGTTCTCTGTAACAGACAGGGTGGAAACAACTTTCGCCATTTCACAGACAGGGAGACTGAAGCACGGAGAGTAAGCACATAGTGGGCAAAGTGGAAGAGCTGAGCTGTGAATCTGGGTCTCTACCTACAGGTAGCACCACCTCCTGATAACCAACAAGGAGAAAACTAAGCATGCGAGGCCTTTCTTCTCCGGGAGATTTGTAGCCCAAGGGAAATGGCCAGGCAGAAAGTCTGACGAAAGTAAAACTATTTCAGACACTGACATAGCGCTCGCCATGCCAGCGCGCCCTGCTAAGCATTTTCTAAGTAGTAACTCATGTAACCTTCATTAGCAAGCCTAGTGGTAGCAACTAGTAAGAGCCCCAATTCAGAGAGGCAGAACTAAGGCACAGAGAAGCCAAGCAACCTGCCTGCAGGTGCAGAGCCTGGATTCACAGGCAGGATCTGAGCCTCTTTTGTTTCTATCAGGACCGCTCACCATACAGCTTCACGGGGAATTCTGAAGATTATGTGCTGCCTAGGAAAAAGCTCATGAGAAAATATTTGGTGAACAAAAAGCAGTGTTCAACATCGCACAAGCATTTTGTTTGCAAACAGGAGACAAAAGAAACACATGCTTTTATGTAAAAAATATACTATCCATATATGACCTGGGGCCACGTCCTGGCTGAGAGTAGACACAAAACACAAGGCACAAGAGTGATTAGCGTGGAGGAATGGGGGTGGGGAGTGACTGACCCCATTGTCTTTATAACAAAAATAACTCCTTTCCCCATGAATGGGTTTCCTTAAAGTGTCACTTCAAAATTCCTTTTGGATTCTCCAGACTCACTCAGGTGCCTGGAGTGGGAGTGGGAAGCCCATTATCCAGGACAGAGGGACAAGATTCCTACCTGTTCTGGGCTTTGATGCTCAGAGCTCGTCACCTGGAAGAAAAATGACAGTTCTCAGGGTAGGCTGGAATGTCCGGTGGGTAACCAGACCCAGAGTAAAGGGTTGCCATGACGTCCACGTGGCGGAAGAGGTGGGAGCTCAGCAGCTCCGGCCAACGGCAGCCAGGCCTGCATAACTCCATATGGGCATTTCCTGGAGCCTCGGAGGTCTGTGGAACAACTGGGTTCCCAGGTCCTGGACCATGGGCAGCTGACTTCAGCCCAGGAACTTCGGGCCCTGCGAGGCCAATAAATATGTTAAACTGAAACATTTCCTGAGAACCTGCTTCCTGGAGGAGATGGGCTGGTAGCCTTGGGGAGTGAGGGGTTTAAGGCAACATTCTTTGCAAGCTGGATCCCATCCAGATAAATGTTCCGCAGATCCAGTTCGCAGAGGATGCCGCAGCTACAGATGCCGTTTGCAATGGGTTCGAAGAGTTTGGGGACCCCTCTGTCGTAGCTGCAGGTGTGTGGTGCCAGGTGGAATGTGGGTGGCTACCTTGCCCCTGCAAATTACTGCCCATATGGTCCTCGGCATGGAGTTAGGCTCTGGCCCCAAACTGACCTGTTTTGTGATCTCTCTGTGCCTCAGTCTCCTCATCTGCCTCATCTGTAAAATGGGAACATTATCACACTTGCTTCATAGTTTTTTTTAAAGTTTATTTATTTATATTAGCAATAGAGATAGCACTCCTAAAATGCTGTTTTTGTTTTTGTTTTAGCTACCATAGGAAAAACGTGCTTACCAGAGAGAGAGAGACAGAACAGAGAGAGAGGGAGCGGGAAGAGAAAACACCCCCAATGGGGTGTGGTCGCACTGCAATCTCTTTTCCTCCATGTCTCCATTCTGTCATGATTTGGGGCATACACACATATACACCCAATGTGTTTTTCAAACTTTAAGACCAGAATTTGAGCCATGGTTGGCCATGTGGGATCCAGTTTCCCCAGCTACTAGGCCATGGGGCCAGCCTCAACACTGCAGTCCACTCCCTGCCCCAGCTTGCCCCCGATCAGGGACACACATACACCCAGTGTACCCAGGGAGGGCTCCAGGGTTGGACCTGGAACCATCCTATGTGGGTCAGCCCTGCAGAGGGGCACCTTTTACTGCTGCACCACCGTTCAACCCCCTGTTCATAGGGCCTTTGTAATGATGCCTTTAGAACAACACTGGCATTTGGTGAACACTCAAATAAACATAGGCACTATTATGTTTAGCCCTGACAACAGCTCAGAGAAGTGTTTCTTGTCACTCGTAATTTGCAAGTAAGTTGAAGTGCAAGAACTCGAAGTGCAGAGTAGGTAAATAAACAGCTTAGGTTATTGATCATGGCTTGATATCTATATTCATTCGTTCATTCTCCCAGAAAAAATGATCATCATTGGGTCCCTGTTCTTGGGACATGGCAGTTTCTTCTCCGTAGAGCTCATAGCAATTTAAAAACATCCCACCAAACATCTTGCCAGTAAAAATAGTCTGTAAAGAATGAATGGATTCATTGTTATTTTTTAACTTAAGTTTATTTAAAAGGAAACTCTTTACATTTATCAAGAATAGAGACCAACATCACTTAGCCCAGTTAAATGTAACTGTAAGTTCAATAAGACAGGCCATGGTGTAGCAGTTAGGTCATACACAGAAGAGGCCAGATTTCATGTGGCTGACCAGAGTTCGATTCTCAGCCCCAGCTGCTTGAAAAGCGTGGAGGGCACATGCACATGTGCCCAGGACCCTGATGAGATGGAGAATGGGAGGGGAAAGGATTGCAGCTTGATTAGGTCCCACTGGGAAGTGCTTTCTCTCTTTTGTATGTGTGCATGCCTACGTGCCCTCTGACATTAAAAAAAAAAAAGACGGGGTGGGTAAGTGGCTTTGTGCTTAAGGTGCTGGGCTCCCACATGACTGACCATGCTTCAAGTCCTGAACCTGGTGGCTTGCTTTCTTACTCTTCCCACATCCTCTCTGTATCTTTATGGTTAAAATTTA